ACTCCTCTAGGAACAAGCTCCTGGAAGAGAGAGCGTGCGGTCAGCCCGTTGGCCGCGGGAACTGCAGTGAAGGTGAAGTGACCGGCAGTCCCCACAGTAGGTGACAGAAAGGCCAGAGGCCTTCTTGTCCCCTGCACCTGATGGCGGGTGGGCCGTGAGCTGCTCTGCTCCCACAGCTCCGGGCACCACTGCACCTCCAGGGGTGTGGAACACCCCCCACCCCCCCACCCCCGTCCAGCCCACAGGGGGGTGAAGAGTGGGAGGGCGTGGCTGCCCCCTCCCCAGGGCCCCATCTTGGACGTGGCCCCTGTGGCCCGCTGGCATTCTCCTGGGAAGGACTTCAAACTGGGGGAGCTCTGAACCAAGTCAAATACAGGCAGCCGTGCAAGTCGTTTCTTCCCAGAAGCCACAGACAGGTCAGATAGTGACTCCTTTCTGGGACGGCTGCTCTGAGAACGATCCAGCCCAGTGTTCCATGCCGCGGCTGGCGGGATATTGGTTTCCACCATGATGCGGGCTGGTAACTTTCAAGGCTACTACAGTTGGGCAGCGGGGGTGAGCCTACGGCAAGTTCAAACACCTCATAGCCCTGCGAGGACGCGGGGAAGGGAGCCCTGAGCCGTCGGCAGGAACGCAAAGTGGTGCGGCCGCTGGGGGACCCTGTGGGGCCCTCAGAAATTAAACAGAGAACTTCCCTGTGACCCAGCAATCCACTTCTGGGCACACACCCAAGAGTGCAAAGGGTCTCGAAGAGACATGTGCACACCCGTGTTCACAGCAGCATCGCTCACTACAGCAAAAACGTGGGAGCCGCCTGCATGTCCGCGAGCAGATGGTGGGAAGCAAAGGTGGTCCATCCACGCCGTGGGACACTCCTCAGACTTAAAAAAGTGGGAAATTCTGGCACACGCTACACCACGGGTGGACCTTGGGGACATTATTGTAAGTTCTCAAGTCACAGAAGGACAAATGCTGGGTAATTCCACTTACACAAGCCCCTAGTCAGCATATTCATACAAAGCGGATGGTGGTCGCCAGGGGCTGGGGGCGGGGCTGGGGAGTCCTGTGTGAAGGGGACAGTGTCAGGGTGACAAGAGGAGCAGAGCTGGGGATGGAAGGTGCTGATGGCTGCACGATGGATGTGCCTGACACCACTGAGCCTGTGCACTTGAAAAGGGTTAGGATGGCCAAAACACACCCACAAACAAAAACGTGTCATAACTTGATGTCTGTTCTTAGCAAGATTCAGACAATTCCCTTAAAACAAGCTGAGAACCTCTGCAGAGATTGCTGCAAGCCTTTGCTTAAGTCCCAGCACAGCAGGTCCTGCATCTGGTCCTTTCGTTCAAGTCGTTTTGTTATAACATTGACCCTTGTTTGCATCCACTGTGGGACAGTTGGTTTCCTTAGAGTCCCAGAACCGATCAAGGACGTTAAGTGAGGGCTGACTGCACTGAAAAAGTCTGTTCCGACCATTTTTGCCTGTTTTCTCACGGCTTTTTCGAAGGAGGCGTCTTCTGAGGTCTCTGCTTCTCCATGTCTGCTAAGCTTCTCAGTTTGGATGAGACGTGGTAGATGCGCCTGAACACAGGCCTGTGTTCACGGGAGGCCAGCTGTGGCTCAGGGGTGGACGAGTCTGCATGCACAGCAAGGCCCGGTCTCCTCAGAGAGCAGGGCTGGAGGTCTCGGCGATGCCTGGCCAGAGTCCTGGGTTTTCGCTGCCCCGGCTAGCCAGGCATGGTTGCAGGGGTCCTGCTTACAGGGTGACCCAGCAGGCAAGGCCCCCACTGGGCATTAGCTCCAGGGGCTCCTACTGCCTTCCTGGACTCAGGACCCCCTGATCACCCTTCAGAGGTACTCGGGAACCTGAGCCCAGAGTGTAGCCCAGTGTGGGGAGGTCTGCTGGTGGGCCAGCAGCAGCTTGGCTCTGGAAGTCCTGGAGCTCAGCCCCATCTCTGCAACCTGTCTAACGACTCTTAAGTGGCTTCACACAGGAGGTGAATCCTGTCCGCCTATGAGTCAGGCTTCTGTCTGCAGGAGACCTGACAGAAAACAAAGGCAGGTGGGACGGGTGTGACCAGGGTGGGCGTGGAGCAAGCTGGGAGAGCCCAGCCGTCGGAGGAGGTGCCTAGACAACGGCCAGCGGGCAAGGGGGCCGTGGACTGCCTGGCCTGTGGCTGGGAGCGGTCAGCCTCCAGGCCCGGAGCAGCCCTGGAAAGCTGTGTGAGCAGAGGCTGTGGGGTCTGGCAGGAGTGGCCGTTGGTAAATGTCTGGGGAGTGAGAGACAAATGAGTGCCTGTGTGACTGGCAGCGTCCCCCTGGGGAGCCAGACACCAGGCTGCTCTGGAGGAGACGGCCTGTCCCCCAGCCCGGGGCCTGCCTGTGCCACGCCCAGGGAGGGCCCTGAAGGAGCCCTTGTTACGCCCGGCCTGGAGGGCCCTCGGCCAGAACCCATGGAGAGGGACCAAGGCCTTTCCCGTCCAGCTGGAAGCCCAGCACCCGGGACAGCCTGGTTCTGGGTCCCATGGCAGGGCCACGGCCAGGGAGCTCACCCAGCACACCCGACGTGCCAGGCCTGCCCTCAGCAGCTCCAACTCAGACTCCTAGAAACCCCACCTCCAGTCGGGAAGGACTTCACAGCTGCCCAAAGCCCATGCTGGGGTTAAAAACACCTCTTAAAGTCGCAAACAGCCTGGGAAGTCGGGCCCATCAGCGTTCATTCTGTACGAAGAATGCGAACTTGAGTGTTAATTCAGGCACTGAGGTCAGGGGTCAGGGGATAAGAGGATGCAGCTGTTAGTCACGGGGGTAGGGGGGTGCAGACAGGGAGTGTGGGGTTCAGATGGGGGGTGCAGAGAGTGTGGGGGTACAAATAGCGGGTACAGACAGGGACATGGGGGTGTAAATGGGGGTGCAGACGGAGCAGGGGGTGCAAATGGAGGGGTGCAGACAGGGACATGGGGGTGCAAATGGGGGTGCAGACAGGGAGTGTGGGGGTGCAAATGAGGGGGTACAGACATGAAGCATGGGGATGGAAATGAGGGGGTGCACACAGGGAGCAGGGGGTTCAGAGTACTGGCCTGTAGCCTCACTCCTGAGCCTCGTTCCCCTAAAACTAACCACAGAGTGACTTACAGGAAGGGACCCCGGAATTAATGTCCACCAGTTAAGCAAGCACTCACTAAACAGAATTCAATTTACAAGATGTGCTGTCCCCAGCCCCTCCTCCACAGCCTTGGGGAGCAGGGCTTTGTCTACGAGGGCACTTCCATGTCCACAGCGTTGAGCCCCAGAGGTTCTGGACACGTGTTAACAAACGGACAAGCTAACCGTGGGCGGGCAGGCGGGTGGGTGGGTGCCCACCAGCATGCACAGGGAGCCCTCTGCTCGTAAGGGGTCACCTTGCGGTGTTTCCCTATCGCTGATTCCCTTGACCCGAGGCAGGGGGCCAGGTGCAGCAGAGTCCAGGACTCCCTGCCGGCTGGGCTCCCCGCCGAGGCCAAGCCCAGACCAAGGGCCACAGGTCAGCTTCCCTGGACCTCTCTCTGTGCTCCTCTCTGAGCATGACGAAGAATGGGGCCCCCTCCCATGTCCCACTGTGTCCCAAGAACCCCCTGAGGAATGATCTTGAGGTGGGCGCTCCGCCTCCAAAGTAAGTGCCTCCTGGGCCCTTCGTGGACCAGGCCTGGCCTTGCCCGGACGTCTCCTGGACTCTGGTCCCCACTAGCCACGCGTCCCAGGTGGAGCTCTCCCTGATGACACTGGGCTGCGTTTCAACATTCCCGGGCCTCTTGTAAAATAGGGTGAGCCCTGAGGCACCGCCAGGCGCTGGACGGGGGAGGAGGGGCGAGGACTGCATTGTGCCTGAGTAAACCTCAGGGCAGCAGATGAGCCTGAGAAGAGGCCCCAGGCCATGTCCTACTCCTGTCCTCAAACTCAGGAGGGGCCACTTCTCTAAGGAGAGCAGACAGAAGAGCTGGAAGACGCCATCGGCCGTCCGCTCATGCTCCCTTGAGTGTGTGGGTCTGTCCACGCGGGTCCACGAGCCACGAGAGCATTGTCCTCTGCAGCTGCATCCGCGAGGGCCCCTTAGACGGCACCAGCACAAAACACCGATGGGATGGGCGTGGGAGCCGGCCCAGAAATATGGGCACTTTCCTCACAGAGCTTTTCTTTTTGAAACACAGTGCTGCTTTTCATACAACCTTCTCCTTCTGTAATGTGCAGGAGGTTTACGTGCTATTTTTAAGTGAGTTGAGTATTCTGAACGCCTCTGCATAACTCATACACAAGCTCTTTGAGTGTGAGGGTCCTGGTAGTGGACTGAGAACCGTGCAAGGGACTGTCCCCAGCCCGAGAACCCCAGGGCGGTGCTCATGACCTCTGCTCTGAGCTCCTGTCACTTCAGTGCTGTGAGGCCACTCGTCTTGTTTGCATCTATTCCTGTTGATTCCATGTATTCTCTCTGTCTCTCTCTGAACATGTGAAATGTTAACATGGCTCCAACAATCAGCCCGCTTTCTGTTTCAGCTTAAAGCTCCCGGGTGGTTGCAAGGAGCAGGGCCATCCTGTTCCCAGACCTCAGGACTCTTGTTCTAGAAACGTTTTCCTGATGGCCAGCGGAGAAACCTCACAATCTGGCCGGGTCCTGGTACCGCCAGGTCCTGAGGGCAGGCACTGTCCCAGAGGCTGAGTCCCCCCAAGGGGCCATCAGTTTGGACAGCACGGCCTATGCAGCTGGGACAAGAGGAGGCGGCCGTGTCTGCAGAGCCCAGCGCCCCAAGGCCCCACTCCCAGCCCAGCTCCAAAGCTCACACTAACGTCAGGTCAGGCTGTGACTGGCTGTGACACACTGGCTGCCCCTGCTGATCTCCCAGCCGCTGGCTATGGCACCACCTTCAAGGAGACATTAGGAAGGGCTTGATGGGAAAGCAGACAGCAGGAGGGCGGGAGGGGGAGGGGAAGGGCGGGAGGGAGAGACAAAGGAAGGGGTGCGGCAAGGGGCAGGCGCCCGCCCCAGGGAGGAGAGTGACCTCAGCACTGGAGAAGCCTCTGCTCCCCGTCAGAGCGAGGACAGCTGGCAGCTCCAGGGCACCGCAGTCCCCGCTCCAGCGTCCTATCTGTGGTGCGCTGCCGCAGCGGTGGGAAACCTGCGCCTTGCGGGCCACCCGGCGCCAGCCTCGGCCTAAAGGAGCTCTGGGCTCTTGCTGGGACCGCTGCCACAGCCGGCCGCCTGCCTGCTGCCGCTCCTGCTGTGTGAGTACCGTGTGCGCCCGGTCCCCAGAGCCTGCAGCACCGCAGAGGGAAGCCCGAGTGGGCTGTGGAGTCCCGGGCGCAACTCACCCTGCAGGGTGCCGGTCCCCTCGGAGGGCAGCGCCAGCGTGAGTAACCAGGGACGCTGCAGCCCAGAGAGCGGGGCTGCAAGCTCGCGGTGCCAGCGCTGCTTGCCTGCTGGGCACCCTGGGGTCCTGCAGACACACCTGCGGACCCAGCTGTAACCTGCCCGGCTTCGCTCTCCCCAGTGAAAGAACAGGGTCGGGCCACGCCTGAGCCCAGCAGGGGAGCACTGAGGAACGTTCAGGTCCCTGTCCGGGCGGCTGGGGACCAGCAGTGGCAGCTGTGGTGCTCTCCCTCCTCCCCCAGGTGATGGACGCCCCAACCCCGGCCGCTGCCCAGGGCAGGGCCCTCTGGGCTCTCCTCCTGGCCACACTTGGCTCTGCGGCCGGTCAGCCTTTGGGGGGAGACCCCGTGTGCACGGCGCGCCCCCTAGCCAAGTACAGCCTCACCTTCACGGGCAAGTGGAGCCAGACGGCATTTCCCAAGCAGTACCCTCTGTTCCGGCCCCCTGCACAGTGGTCCTCCCTGCTGGGTAAGTGCAGCCCTACCCCCACTCCCCCCGCGTGCCACCCCCCCTGAGGCAGCAGTCACCCGACAGCTCACCACACTTTAGTTTGGAGGGCGCTCTCATCCAGTTCAGTTCAGTGCAGGGAATGCTCAGAGCGCCGACTGCATGCCGGCCGGTGACAACCTGGGCTCTGGGGACGGGGTGAGGCAGGATGGCCAGCCGTGGGGAGGGCCAGAGGGACCCTGACCCCACCACCCGCGAGGCGCCTGGGCAGCGTAAGGCTGCAGGGCACCCACATAACGGCGGGAAGGGGGCCGTGCCGAGGGCACTGCTCACGCGGGGACCTGCAGGGGCAGCGCACAGCTCTGACTACAGCATGTGGAGGGAGAGCCAGTACGCCAGCCACGGGCTGAGGGACTTTGCGGAGCGCGGCGAGGCCTGGGTCCTGATGAGGGAGCTGCAGGCGGCCGGAGAGCAGCTGCAGAGTGTGCACGAAGTGTTCTCGGCGCCCGCCGTGCCCAGTGGCACGGGCCAGACCTCCGCAGAGCTCGAGGTCCACGCCAGGCACTCGCTTGTAAGTGCTGGGCGGTCAGAGGGAGGGCAGGGGCGAGAGCCGCGGTGGCGCCTCACTGAGCACACCGTCCCCAGGTGTCCTTTGTGGTCCGCATCATCCCTAGCCCCGACTGGTTTGTGGGCATCAACAGTCTGGATCTGTGTGACGGGGACCGATGGAGGGAACGGGTCACTGTGGACCTTTACCCACACGATGCCGGGACAGACAGTGGCTTCACCTTCTCCTCCCCGAACTTCGCAACCATCCCGCAGGACACGGTGACAGAGGTGAGAGGACGAAAGCCCTCGGGGAGGGTGTGACAGCACCGGCCACTCAGGGAGACTCCCGTTGCCCAGCTTGGTCCCTTGTTGAGAAGGCACCCCTGTCCACAGGGTCTCTGTGAGCAGGGGTGCAGCCCTGCCTTGGGGGAGCCTGATGCGCTGAAGGATGGGGGACAGAGGAGGGTCCTGGAGGCTAGGCCTTCCCGCCTGTCCGTTCTCCAGGCCATAAGCCCCGCACCCTACGAGCCACGGAGGCCGCCCGGGCCAGGCTGCCCAGAGGAGGCCCAGGTGCCCCCTGGACCCGGCACCGGCTCTCGCCCGGGGCCACACGGCAGGTGCAGGTGGACTCTGGGCTCTTGGCCCCTGCTGACCCCGTCCCCCCACTCCCTCCCCCCCCAGATAACGTCCTCCTCGCCCAGCCACCCGGCAAGCTCCTTCTACTACCCTCGGCTGAAGGCCCTGCCCCCCATCGCCAGGGCGACCCTCACGCGGCTCCGGCAGAGCCCCAGGGCCTTCGTCCCGCCCACCCTGGACCTGGCAGGCAGGGGCAACGAGATCACGGACGGCCTCTCAGGTACGTGGCTCCTGCCCCACTGCCGGGATCACCGCCTCGTTCCCTGCCCTCAGCGGTCGTGGCCCTGGAGCCAAGCACTCAGGCTCGGGGGAGCTGCCGTGTCCAGCACTGGCACGTGGGGGGCAGCGCAGCTCTCAGGTTTGTGTCACATGGGGCCTTGCTCCGCCCTCACGGATCCCGAGCCCCTGTGCCAGGCTCTCCCCGCTCACCCTTAGAAGAACCGGGAGAGTGAGTGTCCACCTCTTGGAGACAAAGTGGCACCCAGAGGCCAGACACACCCAGGAGGGGCTGTCTGTGAAGTGGCAGTGATGGCACTGACACCCAGCTCTCCCCTGAGGCCAAGCCTGTCGCCCACATGTGACCCCATGAGGCGCAATGGTCCGGGGCCCAGGCCATGTCGCCCACCCTCATGACATTCCCCTGAAGCAGCCCCAACTTGCAACTGAGGTCCCCAACTGTGGGCTAGGCTCTTGGGTGTGACGTGCCCACCGAAACCACCAGGGGTGCCAGGAAGGGAGTCAAATCAGGGCAAGGCTACTGTGCTCAGATGGCCCAGGGTGCCACGCTCAGAGAATCACACGGATCTCTGAGCAACTTCAAAACGGGGTAGGAGCACTCAGTACAAGATGCGGGTCTGAGGATCCGGGCGTTCGGTACAAGACCACACGGGTCCTGGGATTCAGAACATGTGGGAAGGATGATGTCGTTTGGGGGTTCAGAGCATTTGGTGAGGGTGACATGAGTTCTGAGAGGTTTGATAGTTGGTTGATTCACACTCTAAACTGAAGACTAAACTCTTGCCCGTCTCTGTAAGTGAAAGCGTTTTACGCATCCACAGCCCAGAAGTGAGGGATGGAAGCCCAATCCCCTGTCAGGTGAGCCCACCTGGCCCATGTCACAGCTGACAGAAAGGACACGTCATTAAGTGGATCCCTCTGTGCCTTCCCCTGCAAAGGGCGCAGTGGGAGTGTTAGTGGAGGGGGCACTGCCCACCGGGGGTGGGGGCCTGTGTGCCAGGTGCTGGGCGAGCATGGGACCGCACTCCCTCTGTGGTCAGCTCCAAAACGCATCAGTGATTAGATTCGTAGCAGAAGGTTGACACCCTCAGCAGCACGTGTCCCTGCAGCACGTTTCACAACGGGAGCGGTCCCCACACTCACACCAGGGACCGTGAACACAGCTAAAAGTCCCCCCCTGCCACCACGATGCCAGTCGGTCCCCAAAGCTCCAGACAGTGGAGACCTGAGCATGGCATCGGCTCTTAGCAGAGAAATATTAAGTCGTGGTTTCCTATGAGGTGCGTTTGGTGGCATCTTCTCGCAGCTGACTCTGAACCCTGCCCACCCCGAACCACCCTGGGTCCCCTTGACCCTGCACTCAAGGTCTCCCTGTGCTTGCTCCAGTTCCAGAAACGCCGCTGGACTGCGAGATCTCCCTGTGGTCCTCCTGGGGGCTGTGCACAGGTCCCTGCGGGAAGCTGGGAGCCAAGAGCAGGACCCGCTACGTCCGTGTGCAGCCCGCCAACCATGGGGCACCCTGCCCGGAGCTGGAAGAGGAGGCAGAATGCATCCCTGACAACTGTGTGTGAGCCCCTTGACCCCATGGCAGCTGGGTCGGGGCCAAGCCGGCAGTGTCACCGCCTCTCTGAGCCCCACTGCTGACTGATCCCTCCACACAGACGTGCCTGGGCCGGAGGGGACCCTGTGAACAGGCACCTCCTCTCTGCAAGTTCTCCCTGCAGCCCCACATCAGAGGTCGGCTCCCTCTGGTGGAGGCTCACAAGTCTGCTCAAAGTCACGTCCGGTATGTCTACCATGTGTGGCCACTGTCTTCCATGGGAAGGGTGTACACTCGACGCCCGTGCAGGTGCACTGCAGGAGAGCAGGGCGCCCCAGGCCAGGAACCCACACGCTGTGAAATAGCTTGGACCTGGTGCCCAGGCAGCCGCTGGCACAGGAGCCCGGCAGCTACACCTGCTCCTTGGGGCAAGGCTGCCACCGGTGTTTGCTGCTCCAGGCACCCAAGCAGGTGACGTGCGGGAGATAAGTGAAGGGCAGGCAGGCTGGGACCCCTCACCTGGCATTGTCACAGTACTGATCTGTGCACTTGAATAAAGACTGTTTCTTGACATCGGTGGCATTTCCCAGACGGGCACTGGGCAAGGGCAGAACGAGTAGACACAGGCCACCCACTCATCCACTCACCCCTGGAGGAGGGTCTCCCCCAAACAGGGGCCATGCCCCAGTCTTCACAGAACACATGGCAGTGTCGGAATAGTGTAAAAACAGTGTTTGGACGCATCACACACCCAGCACACACAGCAATACCAGGAGTGCAGAGGAGAGGGGACACTTCCTCCCCCAGGCCCCAGACCACCAAGGCCCCTGACCTTGAGAGAGTCCCCAAATTTTCAGTGCTTATCACCCTGGCCCTCATCTGACCTCATGCTATCAGCACGCATGCTTCAAGGGTTCTGAGCCAAGGCTAGGCTGGGCCCTCAAAAGATGGATGGAGGCGGGAAGGCCTGCACCCGATAAAGTGCACTGTCAAACCGTCTCCCTCCTGCTGGACGTCTGCAAGATCAGATCCCACTGCCCTCCTCTCCCCACTCCCACCTCCTGCTCACCAGCACCCCCTCCACTGTCCCCTCACCAGCGCCCCACCCATGGTCCCCCCCCACCAGCATCCACCCCTCACCAGCGTCCCGCCCACTGTCCCCCACACACAAGCGCTCCGCCCACTGTCCCCCACACACAAGCGCCCTGCCCACTTCCCCCACACACAAGCGCCCCGCCCACTGTCCCCCCCACCAGCACCCCGCCCACTGTCCTCCACAGGCTGCTCCTGCTGATTCGTGGACACTTTCTCCTCCTCCTGGAGACTGCTCACCTCACCTTCCATCTCAGGATCACACCTTCCATCTGACTGCCACTCCTCCGACCTCACTCTGACTGGCAGTCCTGGCTCCCCACAGGCTCTGCCCTCCCACCAATCACCACAGTGAACTGTCCACGTTCCAGTCAGAAGCAGCTGCCCAGGACCCCACACCAGCCTTGGCACGTTCATTCAGTGACATCCCTGTAACAATCTGCCCTCTGTGTGTCCCCACTCAATCATTCTCAGCAGCCAACGTGCTACTTCTCTCTTAAAGGGCATTTCTCTTGGCCTCTCCTTCCCGCCAGGTCCCGTTGCCTGATCCTTAGGCCTCTCAGGAACAGGTGTTCAGCACCCCCTTGACACATCACACTGTTTTGGCCCCCAGACCCCTACCCCATCTCCCCACTTGCCGGGTGATGCCTCTTTCCCCCCGACACCCCTCCATTCTCTACTGACTTCACCTCCTTGGGCTCAGTCCTCTCCAGAGCAAATTCAGATTCCCAAGCTCCCCTTGACCCTTGACCTTGGGAAAGAAGGAGAGAAAGCTGCTGCCTGGGACCTATGTCACCCCAGCAGGGTGGAAGCCCAGCTAGTGCCTGGACACCTGCTGCTACACAGACTGGCGGCTTTGCTGACTGGAGGGGCTTTCTGCAGAAAGTTCTGGGCACACCATGTCGGGTACAACTCAGAGATGCTTCAGGACACAGCACTCTCCAGGGAGGGGCACAGGCCGAGTGGGGGCCCCTGCACTGCGGCAAAGCACTACACTGAGTCTGTCTGCTCACAGACACCCCTACCCTGCAGTGGCTGGCCTCGCAGTCTTACCAGTGAGTGGCTTTGGGGTGAAGGGCACGCATATGGTGACAGCCACATGGTGTAGCTCAGGCACATGGCAGACACGGCACACGCCTGCTGAATGAGTGAGGAATTCAATTCACTTCATTTGCTTTGCCAAGAGTCTTGATACTGAGCACCCAAAATACTAGACAAAATGAGATACTTAAAAATAAATAATAATGCACTGATGAGTGGTAGAAGGTAGGAAAGGCCAAAACAGCAAGCAGTCACTGGCTAAGTGGTGTGCAGGGGCCGCACTCCACCTAGACACCCTGCTGACCTTTGGCACCTTCAGCCTGGGGTATCCAAAGCTCTCGCAGACCCCACTGCCAGTGTGGGAGGGAGCAAACAGGTGGTCCTACCAGGGAACAGCCTCTCTTGCACTTGGCTCTGCACAGAGAAGAAACAATTCTCTTGAAAATTCCTGAATATAAGCCCTTGCTCACATGGGCATGCGATCTGAAAAATCCTAGTTAAAAAAGTTTTTAAAATTCCTGGGCTGGTAACACTCTGAGGAGCCTAAAAACAATGAACACAAATCCTCCCTAGAGACCCCACTGTGGACTCAGGACTCAAAGAATTCCCACCGTAACTTGAGCTCACAATCAAAGCCCACGAGACACACGGGAAAACCAGCAGGAACCTCCTAAATCAGAGGCAACAACAAACTGCAAAGTCAGACCCACAAAGCCGCTGTGCTGGGATCACCATGTATAGGATGTGATTAAACATGTTGACTGTGTTACCCAAGCCTAAGTGCAAAACTCCAAGGACTCCATGGAACTAAGCACACAACACAATGATAGGCTTAAACCTGAAGAGATGGAGGCAGACTGGACCCCACACCCATGTGCAACCTACAGGACATGGAAAACCTTGTAAGACACTAAAAAGCTGGGCGAAGATACTGTGGTAGAGACCCCTGTGGACTCCCATGTCTGCTCCCCCGCTTCCAGAAGCAAGGCATGAGTGGGGCCCTGGGCAGGGAAAGAAATGACAAGTATCATTTGGGGCCAGAACATTTACTGCTTATGTGAGGTGCTCCAGACCCCAAAGTGTATGTCAACATGGAGGTGCCTTTACAGAAGCCACCTGGGCCCAGCACACTGAGGATGCCCACCCTGGAGAGGACCTGGGACCTGCGATCAACTTCAAAACCATCTTTGTTGTGTTAAGGCATTGAGATTTGAGGGAGACAGATGATGGAAGTAAGCCAGTAAAAGACTCCTGTGTTAGGCAACGCTCAGGCTCTGGAGAAGAGGGGATAGAACACTGCTTCCAGTACAGGTGGTGATGGGTGCCACGTCCAGCGCGGCCAGTCGAATGGGCCGGAGTTGGAGCAACGGAGGATTAAGAAAGACAGACAAAGAAATACTTGAAAGAGGGGGCTAGGTGAACAGCTGTCTCCTGATGGGAGAACAGTGACCCAGACTAACAGCCATGCTTTACTTATATAGTCCTGCTTATGCAGGGGCAGGAAAGGGGAGGAGATAGCCCTGGGCAGGGAACTTCCTGGGCATCAGCTGCAGATTGTTAGCAACCAATGCATCGGACCCAAGATGTTTAGTACCCAATGTATTGAATCCACCTGTGGTGCCGGAAACCTCCTCCGTATACTGAGGGGCTGTGCCAGCCTTGCTAAGGATGCAGCCAGAGAGTGTGCCTTGCACCAGCCTCTCCTTTACAGCTCCGGATGGGCCTCTCAGTCCCTGGCAGATGGTGGTGCTGGTGATGGTAGTGATGATGGTGTTAGTGGTGATGATGGTGATCGTGATGGTGCTAGTAGTGGTGATAGTGCTGGTGGTGATAATGGCAGTGATGGCAGTGATGGTGGTGCTGGTGGTGGTGGTGATGGTGCTGGTGCTGGAGGTGATAATGGCAGTGATGGTAATGATAAAGGTGATGATGGTGGTGGTGGTGGTGGTGGTGGTGATGGTGGTGATAATGGTGGTGCAGGTGCTGGAGTGTTGACCACGGTAGTGGTAGTGCTGGTGGTGGTGGAAATGGTGATAATGGTTCTGGTGGTGATGGTGGTGGTGCGAGTGGTGCAGAACACTCTTTCAGGAAGGTAGATGGAGACACTCTCACTGATGAGCCCATCTCTGAGCAGAGCTCTGAAGGAGAAAAGGAAGAAGTCTCTATCTGATGATGGGTGTCCAAAGCAGACAAACAGCCAGAAGCAAAGGCCTCACTGTGTTAGGGAAACAGCCAGGAGGCCGGTGTGGCTGGTATAGAGAGTGGGGGCAGCCTGGCGGGAGGCCTGGTCAGATGGGTTGTGAGCTCCTGCTCCTAGTGAGGTGAGGAGAGGGGTGGGGTGTCATGGCAAAGCTTTGAGTGAAAAATAACAACTCATCAGTGTATGGTGTGAAGACTCATCTGGTCATTTTGAGAGCAGAGTACAGGAGGGCAGGAAAAGGTAATGGGTTAGAAGTTAGTGCACCAACACACAGAAGAGGGAGGTTTGGCCACAGAGATATGGGGGAAGAGGTAAAAAATGGATGAATTCTGGGTTTATTTTGATGTAAAAGCAACAGATACTCACAGACTGGCGACTAACATGACTGCGGAGATGTCTCAGTCGACCCTGTTCACAGCATTTAGTTCAGAATGGTTTTGGCCCAGTTAGGTCAGCCCAGGGAGAGGGAGGGAGTGAGTGAGGACACGTTTACTGCTGTGGGTTCTGTGATACTGTCATTTACTGAACAAGTGAGGGACACTGTCCCAGCATCCACACTGATACCTGCAGGCCCCTCACACAGGCTAGAAATGTGTACGCTGGGCTTCAGGAGGGCTGCAGGCTGGGCCCACCGGGTGGCAGGACCCAGAGCCAGGGTGTTGAGGAGGCGGTGGAAGTGGTCAGCAGTGCCAACTGCTGGAGGAGGGCAGGATCATGGGACTGGCCCACTGTGCTCAGCAATACCAAGGAGGTGACGGGGGCAGTGGCTGAGAAGTCGGCATTGGGGGGAAGAAGGCAGAGGGCAGGACACTGATAAGCGATGGGAGGGGGCCTCCTGGCAGAGATGGTGGACAGAACTCTCATATCTAACCCCGCTTCTGCCCAAACTCCACCAAAGCTATAGAAAAGGATGTTAGAGGACATAGCGCAGGTGCCGGCATTAGGTATGCTCAGGTGCTCTGAGGGGACATCCTCCACAACACAGTCCAACTAGACCCTAAACTCTGGATGGAAACACCACCTGAGACACTGCCCTTCTCATAAGAGGTAGAAGAGAACTCTCACTTCCTCCTCTCACTTTCAAAAATAAGTAAACAAAAAATTGGAACTGGGGCTGGAGCAAAGGGGAACTGGGGTTAGGCCAAACTAAGTGAGCAGCTGGGAAAGGCAGGGCTCCCTGAGGGCTGCTGCTGAGTGGGGCCCTCCAGGACAGCAGTGTCC